GGTGTTTGAGTCTGAGCCCAGGTCGTAAGTTCCATCACTGCCAGAGAGCACGTCAGCAGAGAGTGTTATGGTGCCCCCCTCATCAACGCTGAGCTCATTCTTGATTGATGCAACCGATGTGTAGAGGGTTTGAAGGGGGTCATTTAAAGACCCGAGGTCGCCTGAGCACGAGATGCTGTTGCTCCTCATGTCGAGGTCGCCAGACAGTGTGGCCCCTCCAGCAATCAGTGGCCCGCTCAGAGTTGCATCCACTGCATGAACAGACTTCCATGTGTTTGAGTCTGAGCCCAGGTCATATGTTCCGTTACTGCCAGAGAGCACGTCGGCAGAGAGGGTTATGGTGCCCCCCTCATCAACGCTGAGCTCATCCTTGATAGATGCAACGGATGTGTAGAGGCTCTGAAGGGGGTCATCTGCAGACCCGAGCTGGTAAAAGTGACCGGTATTGGCGTACAGAGTCTCCCAAGCATCTGACGCGGTGCCCAGAGTGTTTGAGCCCACTGGCACGATGGGCATGTCAAAAGCCACAGTGCTCGAGTCCTCATCAACAATTCTCAGGCCGCCTGCCCCACCTCCTGTGAAGCGGATCTGATTGCTTCCTGCTTGCAACCCGACGGCACCTCCCTTTGCCAACCACACGCCTCCGTCCACATCATTCCACGTGAAAGAGATTGCGCCTGGATCATCTGCAAAATCATCACCCATTACCCTAATGCCAGCCCCATCAGCATTCACATCAGACGGGCTATCTGACTGAGCAAGAGTGATGGTTCGATCCTCGACTAGGAGGTCGGTACTGGTTACATAATTGATTGGCCCCTTCACGTCAAGGCGCCCATTGATTGTCACGTTGCTGTCAAACCGGGCATCACCATTTGCAACATGCAAGGAGGCTTGGGGGTTAGAGGTGCCAACTCCAACCCTCCTCGAATAGAGGGTGTCCCATGGTGCATTTGAGCTTCCCAGGCTCTGGCTGCCAACAGGCACCACACTCGTTGCAAAGGAGCCCACGTTGAAGGTACCAAGCTCAACATCGGCTGCGGATGCGCTTGTGGCTATACGTTTCAGTGGTTGCCCTCCTTGGTAGAGAGTTGTGGCATACACGCCTTTGTATTGCAGATTGGACGCACCAAGACTTACACTGTTATCAGTTGCAGGGTTGAAGTTGGAAGTTGGGGCAGAAGCGCCTCCACCGCTTGATTCCAGTGGCACGTTGCCCTTGTAAAACTCAGTTGCATATACCTTACCGAACCGAACAGTGCCAGAGTATGATTTGGCCGTGTACATCACGCGGCACCCTATCATGATGGAAGAAAAGAGACATGACAGAGGATGCATCGAGCAACGAGTACACCTTCACTCAGTCTCACCCGACTCTCTTACTACTTGCGTGCTGCTGACCTCAAACAAGCTTCTTTGTGTCCCTTCCAAGCTATTTTGAAGCAGGCTTTGGAGCAAAATGCTGCCTGCTTGCACTGGTGAGCACCTTTGTTTGGTATGCTGATTGCAGACCAAGCAGGAGTCAGTGACAAGAGACATTCTGCCAAGCAGCCTGTCTACTTGCGTAACATCAAGTTCTACTTTGCTACCTGTCACCTCCCACCTGTCTGATAGATCTGCGAGCGGAAAGTCCTTCTCAGCTGGCAGCTCAACCCATAGGGAGCCATTGTCGCGGTCGCTGAGCCGATTTTGCACCTCAATCCTGAACAGTATCGAGCCTGGCACACGGTTTGGCACTGGATAGTCCTCAGCATCGATCGGTACAGCGATGATTGGAACGTCAGCTGGCGTCCTCTGGTCTTTGGGCTTGACCAGCTGTTTCCAGGTGAACGGCATCCTGCAGGATGGATTCAGTGCTTGAGGCACTGAAAGATGCTGCAGCATGCAGCTAAAGGCTGAAGAACTGCACAGCTCAACAAGGCAGGATTGCAAACACAGAAAAGCGGGACTTACAGGAAGAAGATGTCGTCAAACTCCGATGCCAGCCTGGTGACATAAGGCCATGCCTCTTGCATCATTGAGGCGACCAAGAGCTTGAATGGAGGCAGGACGCCAGGTTTTGGTGCAAGAGCATCAATACCACCCCAGTCCATCCCATTTCCATCCAGTCGGAAGCGCTTCTGGCGCCCATTGAGTCAAAGGGGGCTTGAACTGTGGTGAACGGCCTTGGTACAGACTTTTCAACACTCGACTCTGTCCTGGCTTGGCTGCATCCAAGTGCTAGCCCCAGTGTCCACAATTCCCTCTCAACAGGCACATACGCTTCTGACACTGCACCGCTGCTCACCATGCATCACTTGATTATACCCGTGAGTGAGCCGTTGATCACCTGTAGACACCTGTTAGTTAATTAAAGCCTGAGCTGCCCCCCAAAATCGACCGTCGATTACCTGCAAGTTGGCCGTCGATCACGTACGGCCACCCGCGAGTGCCCGTCGATCTCTCAAAACCACCCGCCGGTACACCGTCGATAACGGAGGGAACTTGTGCGATCACTTAAGTAGCCAAAGTCAGATGGTTAATTGCAACACCCGTCCCCAGAGGTCGCCGAGAGCAGCCAGAGTGCGCAACAGCAGCGCCCCGCAAATCAGGAGACATAAGGCAGGCTCGTTCGCACAAGTGATTAAATCCCACCAGTGAGACAACATGGAGCCTGCCCCCGCAGAGCCCATCCTTGCTGCATCCAACGCCAGGTTCACAATGTTCCCAGTCAAGTACGATGAGCTATGGAAACTGTACAAGGAGGCTGTGGCTAGCTTCTGGACAACAGAGGAGGTGGACCTCAGCGATGACCTGCCCCACTGGGAGAAGCTCACTAGCAAGGAGAGGTTCTTCATCTCTCGAGTGTTGGCCTTCTTCGCTGCCAGTGACGGGATTGTCCTGGAAAACCTGGCCCTCAGGTTCTTTGCAGAGGTGCAGATTCCAGAAGCACGGGCATTCTACTCCATGCAGATGGCGATTGAGACCATCCACTCTGAGCAGTATAGCCTCCTCATTGATGCCTACGTGAAGGACTCTCAGGAGAAGGACGAGATGTTCGGCGCCATCGACTCAATCCCATGTGTCCAGAGGAAGGCGGACTGGGCAACCAAGTGGATCGAGCGCGGACGGTCGTTTGGAGAGAGGCTCGTTGCCTTTGCATGCGTGGAGGGTATCCACTTCTCGGGGTCATTCTGCGCCATCTTCTGGCTGAAGAAGCGGGGACTCATGCCCGGCCTTTGTTTTGCCAATGAGCTCATCAGCCGCGATGAGGGGCTGCACACCGACTTCGCGTGCCAGCTCTACGAGACCCTCCAGGAGAAGCTGCCAGCTCAGACCGTGAGGGACATTGTCACTGATGCTGTGAAGATTGAGCAGGCTTTTATCTGTGAGGCGCTACCCTGCAGTCTTATTGGAATCAATGCTTCCCTGATGTCGGAGTACATTGAGTTTGTTGCAGACAGGCTCTGCCAGCAGCTGGGGTACGAGGCAATATACGGCACCACCAACCCTTTCAGTTTTATGGACCTGATCGCGCTCGATGGAAAAGCAAACTTCTTTGAGAGGAAGGTGTCCGCCTATCAACGCGCAGGGGTCGGTGGACAGAGTTTCGCAGACATGTCAAACATTAGGACCGATGAGTTGGACTTTTAAAGATAAGAAGCTCAGAAGTCCAAAGTTTGTTGAGGACAAGCATGCACACGATTTTTATACTGCTTAATAGCCCTGAGCCTGTGCTCTCTGTGTATTGTGCGATTGCAAATCATGCATGTCTGGCTATTGGGAGATGCAGCTATGACAACTGCGAGAGATGTCATCATGAAGGATTGTAAGTGCTTGATACACACACTTAGGGGAACACATCTGCTCTTAGAGCACCAACCTACAGATGGATGCTGCTGCTATCACCGTTGCACGGGCCGCCAATCTGGCAACCTACGGGAACAACCACAACAAAGAAGCGCAAGGTCTGCGACTGATCTCGCGTGCACTTCAGGAGGACGGCCGTCTCAAGTTCCACAAGTCGTTTGAGAAGGCTCTTGCTGACTTCTGCGTATATACACCTGGTTCGCCCGCACTTGGAGTACAGGTCAAAACCACGGGTGTGACATTAGAACTGAATGCGGGCTATGAGTACTATATCTTCGGACGGACAAATGGATACGCTGGCTTGTTGATGATCTTTGTGGCCCTCCACTTGGAGACCCCGCGCATCTGGCTTGCGGATGGATCCAGGGTGATCAGTATGACGGTTACAATTCCAGGAACCCTCCGGCGGCGCATGAGGTCTGACAGACTACAAGAGATAAAGCTCGCCACCCTGGCAGACGCAATCTACACAATCTATATGGCAGCCCTATCAGGCTCTAGCAACTACGTGCTTCGCAGCCCAAGGGACCACGAGAAGCCCACGGAACGGAACGCCTTGGCGGAGTACAACGCCTTCCAGCGTCTTCAGCGCTCGTTACCGGTCCTTTTCATGGACCCTCCAGCCGAGTTCCTGAGCTACGATTATATCGTGGATGGCAGGAGGTGGCAGCTGAAGTTGGCCCGATACAATCGTAAATCTGATTACTACTCCGTGGGTTGCCATAAGCAAGCAGGCAGAGTGAACGGGAAGAAGACACAGAGGCAGTATGAAGTCGGTGATTTTGACTTCCTCTGCATCCAACTCCCCGAGGCCCCCAAGACCTTGCACTGCTGCTACGTGATCCCGCAGAGCATACTGGCCGATCATAGTCTTGCCGGCAACGCTGCCAAGTCTTCCGCGGCCGTCCTTGTGTACCCGCATCGCCTGGTGACGGCCAGGAATGCTGTGCACACACAGGGCGTTCACTGGACGGAGAGTTATCGCGTCGACTTTGCCGATGACCCATTGGCACAGCTGGCGCGCATTACGCAAGGAGCATCCAGCGGGCAGGGGTCGGTGGTCTGAGTTTTGCAGACATATCGGACATTAGCGACGAGGAGTTTTGAGGTGTCGTTAAGAAGAGACAAATTCTTTCCAACATTACAACCATAAGTCGTATGGCAGCTGAGTTCAATCACGTGCCGCTTACCCCAGAGACTAAGAAGCCTGCCCCTGCACCATCTTACAGCCCGCCTCCAAGCCCTGTGCCCGCCAGAGGCCTCAGATTCTTTCGTAGGATTCATGAGCAAACGGCTGCTGTCACAGGTGGTGCATGGCAGGCAGTATCTACAGAATTCATTGCAACGTTCATGTTTGTGTACTTGGGTGTCGGATCAGTAATTGCATGTGGGCTGAGCCCCGACTCTAGGATCCAGAGCACATCGGCACTCCTCGCATCGGGCCTTTCAAACGGCCTCGCACTGTCCGTAGGCACCGCCTTGGGTGCCACCAATGGAGTGGGGCACTGCAACCCATCCTTGACATTTGCCTACGCCATAACGGGACGGTTGAGCATGCTACGAGCCATGTACATGATATTGGCACAATGCGCCGCATCCTTTGGAGCGACCGGGCTTGCAGTAGTAGCATACCCTGTCTCCCTTTCTACCAACCGCCTCCATGCATGGTCGCTCGAAAGGGCTTTCTTGCTGGAACTGATTGCAGCATGCATCCTCACAATCACATCCATGGGGCTTCGAGCCAAGAAGGGTGTGCAAAACCCTGCGGCTCCTGTTATCATGGGCTTTCTGATGACTGCAAGCATGGTGGCGGTGTCTCCATTCGCTGATGGTACTGTCAACCCCGCACGGAGTCTTGCAATTGCAACATTCACGGCAGGCTGGAAAGATGCTTGGGTCCATGTGATTGCACCACTGAGCGGGTCCATAATTGGTGCCGTGCTTCACGAACTAATGATTGAAAGTACTGGTGAACCGTAGACTTCCACTGCCTACTTCCTCAATTTCCTCTCACTTATTGCAGGAGGTGGATGGCCCCGATGCAAAAAAAGGCTCGCAACGAGAAAGGGTTGGAGGTCCAGAGCGCGAGATCTGACAAACGTGCTGAATTAGACGCTCAGTATAGGAGAGCTGTGAAGAACAAGGAGAAGTGGGATAAGGAAAAGCTTCAGAGTAGGCTGAGCGCACGAGAGAAACAGAAGAAAGACAAAGAGCTTCAAGATGCAATTGATGCTGGACGGAAAAGGCTCCATGCATTCAATGAAGAGGAGGCAGCCACCTTGCGCAGACAGATTGCACTGGGAGAGAGAGCTGCAATGGGCCGGGAGCTCAGCAAGCAAGGAAAGGGGAAGAAGAAGAACAATCCGATCCACCAACCTGTCCACAACGTGGCTCCCGAACCAACCTCAAGCACTCAGAACGTGAGCCAGATTGAATTGGACCAAAGGGGTGCCGTGGATAGAGCACTCAAGCAAAACAATGATAGGCAGCCTGCGAAAGCAATTGCACTGGCAGGGGCGGCCCGGAACAACCCACTCTTTGAAAACAGTGCCCAACAGCACTCCGTGTCCGTCCCGGCACCTCGACGAAATCTTGGCGGAGCGGTGGTAACCAGTCACAACAACCCACTCTTCAAGCCAAGCGCCCCGAACGTGAGGAGCAGCTTACGGCTGCTCAAGAGCTCTCATGGTAAGAGGCCGTCGCAGATAGATGCCACCCTGCCCGACTATCAGGAACCGCAGCCGCCCACCGCGAGAAAACGTGGGGCGGAAGTGCGGACGATTGACAACAACATCTACAACAGCTTACAAGAGACAGATCTAGCAAAGCTAGCAAACAACGATGAGAGGGAGGAGGTGCAAAGGCTGGAGCAGCTCAGGCTTGAACGCCCGTCATTCCCAAAACTTCGACCTCGCCCCTACTTCTATGAAGTTGGCGCTTTGCCTGTGACCGATGAGGACGAGTGGGATAATCATCTGGAGCCCAAGCTGGTTGAGAACGAGCTCCCGATGCCCCGCAAGGGTCACCCGCTGTTCGATCGCGTTTACCTGCGTGAACGACATCCAACAGCTACTGAGAACTTGCCTGCTCCGTACAAGCCTGCGGCCCCGCCCTACCGGCCACGTGCCATAAAGCTGCCAGGTTTTGAATCTCCTAACCTGCCAACACCGGGCAATATCTTGGTGCCACCAATGAGAAAGAGGCGCTCTAGTTTCGTGGAGGATCTTCCACCAACAGGCAACCTGAGAGTCCCTACCTTGCGGACGAGGCGGGTTGGTCTTTCCTTTGACGACCTTCCACCCATGAACAGTGTCACTGCCACCACACCTCAAAAAACCCGACATAAATATCAAGTTGAATCGCTTGCGAATGATCTTCCTCCCCCTATTGATAAGATGTCCACTCCACTCAGATTACGAGGTCAAGGACTTTTCGATAATGAACCTCCCATAGCCCCCCTTCCACGTAACCGCTCGTCTGGACTCCATGAGGATCTGCCGTCATTGATTGGTCCCATCGTCACTCCGCTCAGAAAACGACGTGCTGAAGACCGAATGCCAAACACTTTCACTGCCCCTCCCTTTCAGGATAGGGGGTCTTCAAATCTACCTCCAATCCGATTGAGAGAGTATAGTAAGCTTCGCGCACGTTCAGGCAACAGAGGGCCGGTGGGAAAACTCGCCTCGAATAAGCACGACAATCCAGGGCCTCAACTGGACATTGGCTCGACTTTTACAACTCCTCAGGGAAGCACCACAGAAAGCCGTTTAGGCAGCAGAGGCCCGGTGGGAAAGCTGGAAAGGTCACTCGCATTCAAGAAGCACAATAATCGCAAGCCTCTCTTGAATCAATTCTCTCAAGGAAGCAATCGTGCACGCAAGACAGAAAAGCCGAGCAGCTGGTCTCTCTTTGGGGGCCGAACAACAGGGTACACGAGGATTAAAACAAATTCTGACGTTGACGGAAGCTCAAAACAGGCGTCCAGTTGGTTCAAGGGCTGGGGCCAAAGGCAAGGGAACACAAGTAGTCCAACAAATGAGTCCAACAAGCAATCTGGAGGGTTTGTCACTTGGTGGAAGGGGAGAGCACAGAAGGCTCAGCACGAGAGTGAAAGGGACTCTGGTGGTGACGGGAGCTCGAAACAAGCGTCCAGCTGGTTCAAGGGCTGGTCCTCTCCTTGGGGCTACAGGAAAGGAGACAGAAGAACTGCAACTAGTGATTCCAACAAGCAAGTCCGTACTGGAGGGTTTGTTGCAGAACAGAATGAGCAGAAGGACAGGCAACAGCAAGAGAGTAGAAATGTACAGAATAGGGCCAACAAGCAGGCCGCGAAAGAACGCTCTGACAAGGCCCAGAAGCTCAAGAATGAATTGAAACGGGTCAAACAGCAAGGGAAAGAAGATGAGGGTATAAGAAATCTGCAAGAAGAATTGAATAAAGAGATGGCCCAGAAGCAGGCGATGAATGCTTACAGAGAACGGGCGCAAAAGGTCGAGAATGAACAGAACAGGAAAAGAAGAGAAAGGCTGAACGCCATAGAGCAACAATGGAGAGAAAACATGGCGCAGAGGGCCAAGCAGCAGCAAGAAACTACGAGCTCTGGAACCAACCCCGTGCTGCCAGGCAAGCACATGATTGCAGCCACTCAGCCAGGAAAGTCAGGGATTCGCAATTGGCAAGAAGCACTGCAAGCAGCTGTTGTTACACCACCAAGCACTGAGCTCAAGCGTGTTAGCCCCGCAGCACCCACAAGAAGCTCTGGCTGGACAGCATTCTCACCCAATGATAAACGGTCCCTTTACTATGGCAAGGCTGCAAAACAAGCTGCACGCGGACAGGTTCCCGCAACTATGACACAGAGGGTCCACGACATACCCATTCCTCAAGAGCTCACCCGAGCACCGATTGCTGTCACCACCATTCTCACAAAGCAAGGGAGACTGCAGGGGGGTGGTCCTGCAGGTGAGATTGCCCCTCTCACAATCATCCACGGGTTGCAGGGGAGTGACGCGGTAGCACTGGGATTGCTCATCGAGCGAGAAAAGTCACATATTTCCCAGAAACGTGCAGCAATCGTTGCACTTGATAGATTGCTCCCAAAGCTCACCTGAGAGCTCGACAGTTTGCAGATGTCTTTTCCAGGTTAGTAACACAATACACTGGAAACCTGTCAATGTCCACAAGCAGCTCTCTTCGGTCGCGCTTCTTTGCTGCAAGAAGAATGGCACATGTGGCTGCTGCCATCAATATGAGAAACCATGCACGGTCCATGCCGTAGAGTAGCAAAATTATTGGGACGGACAACATGGACCAGAATAGTAGGTGATACTGCCCGGGCGAAATGGACCGGAGTAGACGAGCCCAGAATAATGCCCGGAACTTGAAT